GATTTCTACCAGCTTTTCTGCCACCTCCGGATTGATGTGCACTGTCTGCACCTTGTTGGTGAAAGGTTCATGAAGATCCTCGCGCGTGCGTCTGCCCGGCCGTCCGTCCGTCGTCCGTTCGCGTCCTTTGTCGTTTTCATATTCTTCATCTTTTGGGCCTCAGTACTTGCCATGACTGCTCGGATTTGGTTTTTGATTCTTATTTGATCCCCCATGCTTGCTCCCATCCTATCTTATCGATGCACATATTTCACCTGAAAAGCGCCTGGGCCAGAGAAGTGGTTCTGGGTTTGTTTCGCCTTCGTTTTTTTCACAAGCTTCCTAGCTGCGCCATTTTATGCGATAGGTGTGTGTGTGTACACACCTGAACGTGATGATGATCAGTAATACAGCGTTGCAAGGCTTGTGCAGGGGGCATGCAGGTCATCGTTGTTTCTCAGTGTGGCAACAACCACGGTAATAGCGCACTTCGTTAGGCTTTTGCAAGAGATAGTCGCTGTCGTTTATCTTCATTCGGAATGCAGGTTCTCGGCATGACACTCAATGCTCACGAAACGAAGGTGGTTTGGTTTGCGTGCAGGCGTTGCCTGGATTGGTCGCTGTCTTCAAGCTGCTGGGGAAGGGGCAGGCATGTGATATCTGCAGTAGTGAGATGATCGTCGCAACTATCCTCGGCAGCGCAATGACTCCATGCTTCAGAAGCCTTCCAGGCTGCGACTTGGCATCCACTCGGGGAGTTCTCGGCGCCGTTTTCTGACGAGGTAAAGGAGCCTCTCTCTGCAAAGGTGCGCCCAGAAGCCTTTGCAAGCAGAGCAGCCGGGGATGCTACGCCTGTGCATAGGCAGTGTGCAGCCATGCTAGCATAGACAGGTTTCCCTGTCCTTCGCGCCGGGTGAGATTGTGCTCACAACCGCTGCCGGAATTGTCCATCGTCGGCGTTTGCAGGAGCGTCAGCCTTCCGTTGAGAGTTCAGATAAGAAGACTCCGTGTCCAGGATGGCCTACTGGCAGAGTCATCGCATCGCTTTGGAGGGGTCTCCACGGTGGCGCAATGGCAGGCGGTCTTTTGTGCGGATTGATGCTACAACCAAGCTTCGTGTGTGCTTGGATACGTGACTATACAGGATGCCTGCCCGATGATGGGTGGAGGCATGGATTGCTGTGGGCATTGGTGGCCACGTTGTTTCTGTGATCGGCTGTCGCTTGTGGCCCCTGTCGATGCTTGTGCAAGCAGGCCTTGCACATCTTCGCCTCCGTCGCAAGGAGGGATCGCAGGCAGCGGGCGCACGAGTTCAAGTAACGATTTTAGTAGCGTGTTGTCGGAGTTTTCACACCCTCCGTCAACAGTGCTCAGTGTTTCAGATAAGTCTTGCAGGCTAGGGGTGTGAGAGAAGCGGTCCAGTACAGTATCCCTGGACAAGCTGCCAAAAGGCCTGGACACCGGAGCTGCTGACCCAGAAGTTGGAGCACACAGAGGGAAGTTCTCGCCTCAGCCGACAGACTAAGATGTCGCACTTGTTTTGAGAACGGCAAGGCAGCGATGGGGTCTCGAGTCTTATGATGCGCTCGCCTTCACTTTACAAGAAGCAGGTACTTGACATAGCGCGATGCCCGCTAGAATGTTCAAGAAAAGCTTCTCTCTAAGCAGAATTTAAGATGTGGCCTTGTTCTTGATGGGTATATCTTGCGGATGCGTGGCACGGTGCTTCGCCTAGGCAAGATGACCCAGCTTCAGGCTAAACATTGCTAAATATTTCGCAACTGGCTGCATCGAAACCTTGAACCCGCTACCGCTACCGAAGGGTACCTTCCAGGCTGAGTAGAATGGACAAGGCCCTGCGAGTTTGGGATGTAGGTAGGAGGCCTCCTTGTGCGTGACGGTGCGAAACGTAAATGAGGTTTCTGTCGGTTTCTGTCTCCCCTACGTTGAAACCCCTCGCCCTAACCCGCAAGTCCGCTAGTTAGATCATCACCGTCCCAGTGTTGCGGCTAGTTTTGGGCGCCTTTCATCCTTGTTGCTCTGAGGACCTTCACTATTCCAGTGATGCAGAGGTGGCAGCTGCGTCTCACCCACCGCTGCCACTGATCGGGACACAGCAGTACTCGAGCGAATTCTGTTGGGCATGCAGTTGACTTGAGGTAGGAAGCGGCTCGGGTGTTGACGGCATGCAAATTTCTGGCAAAATCGGGATGACAAAGAGCCCTGTGCCAACAAGTTATGCGGACCTTCATTTTTTCGATGCCTGGACCAGTTTGCCAGGTTCCAGGCAGTGCAACAACAATGCAATGTAGTGGAATCAATGTCTCTGCTTGTTCATCGTGCGGCAGGTCAACCCTTGCCCAAGGTATTGTGCTCACATGCTTGAAGCTGTCTTTCCGAACAACCTCCCCGTGATGGTATGGATCTATTGCCTCTACGGCCAACGCCTCATTAGAGGCCATCGCTTCGTGAACTGGCATGGAACGCAGAGGTTTGCCACGAGAGAAGATAAGATCATTTGAGATCTTCGTTCCATCGCAGTTGCGCTGGGTCAAGCTTTCAACTCAGAAGCAAAGGTTCGTGACCTGCAGAGCGCACAACTGGCAAGCAGCTTTCTCATGTTCTGGTTCCGCACCGGCTAGATCTGCTTGTGTGTTTTAGGTCTGCGATAGGACTTAGTGTGTGACAGTCCATATTTTTCTTTCGTCAGATTACTGAATGGAGAAAGCTGGGGTGGCCCCAGGTCGCTTTGTTCTCCTTAAATGAGGCCCTTCAGGACGTAAGGTCTGTGTGAACTTGCCTGGCAAGACTGCTTCTTACCCAGCTGCACTGACTGAAAACAGGGAGTGCTTGCAGAGGGCTATGATCGGGTATGTTGACTCTACACTTGTGTTTCACCCTGACGCCGTCTGTCTGCAATACGTGTATCTCTATGCTGTCTAGAATCTGGACTTTAGACACTTGCACGCCTGCAAGCCTCGTGGTTTGTAAGTGCCGGTCAGTCTGCGAGCAAACGGCAAAAGGATAACCATCGAGCAAGCACCAGGATCCAAGAGTTGCACATGCTACAGCACTGCCATCAAGTACATGAATAGATTCTTGATTCTTTGTCGTTTGGTATTTCCTTGACGTCATGGCGGCCGAGGCACCTGAACTCTGCTTCCAACAGTTTGCCGATTGGCAGAACTCCTCCAGCAAAACATGACAGGGACCTTGGACGGGCTTTCTCACTAATTTAAGCTTTTCGGAATGCTGCTGGACCTGCGCCCGCTTCTTTCAGGCAATGCGCCGCGTGCGCGGGACCAAAGGCACAGCAAATCCTGATGAGACCTTCCAGTGAATGATAAAGGAGAAGCCACACAGTTGACATCATCATTTTTCCAGCTTTAGGGGTAAAATAGAAAGAATCCTAGCACCATTTCTCCTACACCCACGTTCCAACTTTCTGGGGTTCACTGCGGTGGCTCCCTTCGAAACAGGAATGGATGGTGTCTGGTGGACCAAATTTGGGTGCACCCGTCCTGTCAATTGTCAATCCTGTCATGTGAGCGCTGTTGTGCATCTTGTGTGGTTCTTCTTGCTTTCTGCCTGCCCTGTTGACAGGGCAGCCACCATGGACTTCAGCCACCAGGCGAAATGGAATAGAGCAGTGACGGATAGACTGCACGGCGCCGGGATGTATTGCAGCTCAGATGCCACTTAGAGGTCTTTGTTCGCATAGCTCGTTTATGTGTCAGGAAAAGATGCATCCATCAGACACCATTTTCAAGGCCGAGACAACTCTTCTTGGATTCTGTAACTCTGCTCTGTTCCCTTGACAAGCCATCTGCAAGCGTGGATTCCCCGCAGAATGTGGTGGCACACAAAAGATGGGATGCAGAGGCGATGAGGCGCCCAATGTCAGCCGCAATTGCAGGAAAACTTGCAGATTGCATTGTCTGCACGGGTAGTGTTCTGTCAGTTGAAGCTTTCACTAGTGGGAAATGGCGGGTCAGAATGCTCTCGCTGCCGCAGTCGCCCGGCACCGCCAACTTCCACCGAGCACCTCTCATCCCAGATCAGGTGGGGAGCCAGGAGCATGACAGCTGACGATGACGATCACGACGACGATGATGATGATGATTCCGATGATGCTGACGAGGATGATGATGGATGCTGGTGGTGATACTGGAACAGAAGACTGTAGCGATGAGGCCGACAGTACCAGTACCGTGTGATGCCTCATGAGCGATGCATTCTGATGCTGCAAGCGAAGCTTCAGGGCTTTGTTTCGTGTGTGCTGAGAATGGGCCTTCTTCGAGGAGCTAGTGCTTGTCCAAGGCTTGTGCAGTGCATCTCCTGCAGGCACCCGGCTCCAGCCAAAGAAGCCCTCGCACCTGCAAAGGCTCTGCCAAGGGCAGGTAGCGGCGGCAATGATGTGATCTTCAGTGAAACGGAGTTGGAAGGCATCTCTAGATCTGGAGCGGAAGTGCGGTGCCCAAAATGCGCGGTGACATTGATTTTAGGAAGCAGCGCTACCAGCCACGTCTGAGGTTCTGGGCGCACGAAGTGACCTCGAGGCAGTCCACATTGCGCATGGCGGAGGCATTCCAAGATGTCCGAAGGGATGGGATTGCACAGACAGGTTGCGGAAACAACCTTGTTCTTAGGCGGTTACTTGGTCCCCAGCAGATCGCAGTATCATGTGTGGTACCTTAGTACCTGGTCAACTTGTGTCGCTTTGTGAAGATTCTGGGAACGCGCTTTGTAGTCTCGAGCGGCCAGAAGCGGCAGCGACGCATCGACTCCTGGGCGGGAGATGCACCGATCCGGATGCCAGCCAGGATCCCGAGACTGAAGACTCGTAGGGCACCGGAAGGGCTCCCTGACTCTGGAGCAGACGAAGACGACTTCAATGCGCTTTCCCTGTTCAGTGCAGCATGGTGCATGCAGTCATTGAACACCGATCTGCAGGCTGCAATCGTGCAGCTCAAATCAGTAACGTGGTGTGCGAACACTGCAACTAGTCCGTAAATTATAGCATGGCAGCCATGGCATCCATGTCGCTGCTCCTTCTACTACCATGCATGCGGACATTGCGCTCCGATGTATACACACGGACCGACAAGATGTTGCTAGCATCATCGCTCAGTCAATACGAGTGCTCCCCACAAGTTGTCGCCTCATCCAGTGCCGAGACCGGCGAGGGGCATTTGATTGCGATGGTCACAGGTTACAGAGGTTCTGTCAGAGGATTGCAAGGTCTTGCTGAGGGCCTTTGCACGGCAAGCTTTGCCCAAAAGGAACATACTTTGATCATTGTTTTGGATGCTGTGGTGGGTGCACATTCTGTGCAGCCAATTATGCTTCAGGGAGAGCGTGTGGCCGAAGAGGTGCTGCAAATCGTTTCTTCCGGAGCCAAGTACAAAAGAAACTTTACATCGTACTCGATCATCGGCCACTCCTTGGGTGGGCTCGTGGCAAGAGTTGCAGCGAGCCATATTGACCGAAGTCTTGCTTCGGCACTCAGGCCCAGGCTTTTCGTGTCACTTTTTTCGCCCCATGCAGGTGTGGAGAGCTTTGTTAACTCTAAGCTGCTCCCCACTTTGATCCACATCTCGGGCTCAGACCGTGGAGCTATGGACGAACTATGCGAGAAATCGCCTGAGAAAAGCATCTTGGTCGAGATCTCTCGTGGAGTGTATCGCCAGGCGCTGGAGAAGTTCGAGAAAAGAGTTTTATACACTTCAGAAACAGACTGGCTTGTGGATTTTGGAAGTGGAGGCATCACGTTGCAGAAGCCTCAAGAACATGATGATGCTTCAATCTCGGATTACCCTTCCTTAGTCTTGGAGAGCTTGAACCTAAGCAGTGGAGCAGAGTCAGAGACTTGCCAAGCTGGCAGTGTACGCTGTGAGGTGATAAATGAGTTGCGGCATCTTCCATTCGAAAGAGTTCGGGTGCAGTGGCAGCTCTTTCGGCCAGACAAGCATTCCTTGCAGGAGATGAGCACTGTGGAGAATTCCGAACTGCTTCGGCACCTCACCGGGGAGTTCGGCGGCTCCAACTCGAATCTGCCGCGCGGTGCTCGCTGCGTCAGCTCTGAGTTCTGTGCCCAAGGCCTCGAGTGCACTCCCTCTCCGCCCTCTCCCTCTGCGTCGTCTAGAAGCAGAAGTTGCCAACCTCGTTTCTTGGAAGCTTCCGACGCATGTCTCGAAGAGGATTCAGAAATGCAGAAGTGTGCTTTCGCCGTCGATCTATTCAATGAAGGTCTGCAGACTTGGCTGCTCATCGTGACGAGCAGTGGGGGTGGGGGTCACTTGGTGGCTGCTCGGAATCTGCAGAAGATGTTGCTGGAACGTGTCGAAGGCGGTTATGAGACGGTTGCTGCGCAGTTGCGGGAACAAAGGCCGCTTCTTACACCCGAGGCGTACCGTCTCGCGACAGCAGCGTTGTCCGCAGTGCAGAGGGGCCCACCTGCGGTTGAGATGCTTGACATCATGGACAGCCCTTGCACCAGCTTGGATGGACTTGGATACATCTCCTTGGGTGGCTTCATGAGCGAAAGCTGGAACAAGCTGCAAAGTTCAGGTGACATCAGCGGTCTGAGGAGGCTGGTGTCTCTACAGCCTTGGACACAACGGCTATTTGGTCGTCAGTGCCGGAAGTTTATACAGTCCGTCGTTGAAGCTAAGAAACTGGGCTACCTGGTGCCACCGAAGAGGATAATTTCCACACAGCCCCTGCTCGTCCGGTCCTTGCTCGAAGGTTCCATGGGCCGAGGAGTCGATCTTTACATGACGGATCTCCCCACAGAGGAGGCAGGTCCGCGATCTGTGAAGAGTTCAACAAAGTACGTATCCAGACCGTGTCATGGGTGCCCCGTCCACGCACTTGTGCTGGGTTCTACCACCTTGCCTTCCTGTGTGTCGTTCTCCTTCTCTCTCTGTGTGATGGCCCGGCAGAATGCCTGTCTCACTCGTCGCGCCGTCCTAACGTTCTGCGAACTCAAAAATTCAAATGTCTCTTCTCTCCCTCACTTTATCTCACCACTGGTCGCATTCTCCGTCTCCGTGTCTCGATATCACTCCAGCACTGGAATGCCGTTTCTCACGCAATCTCTGGCTCTTCCACGTTTATACAGTCATGGCCATCCATCTGTTTGGGTACCTGCTGGCTTCCTCATGCTATGGAATGTCGAACCTATAAGTCTTGGAAACTAAGACTTGGAAGGTCCAGTTTTCGCTGAGCTTGTGTGACAGGCAGCGCACAATTGGCCCTGACCCATGCCACATCATGGTAGGCACAAGTGTTTGCGCCCGAGCCTGTAAGCAGAAGTGGTGGTTCTGTGAGGCGGTCAGGCCCTGATGCAAGTCGCAAGTTGCCTCAAAGCCACACGATGTGAAACAAATCCTTCAGACACCAGAGGGTCTGAGCAGCAAACCGTCCCGACCCCTGCGGCTCCGTGGCAGGCTGTCCACTTCTTCGGTGCCTTGGATAGCATGCCCAAGGACGACGTCTCGGATCAGTTGTTCTTGCACACGCTCGCCCCAATGCATGGTGGAAAGGAGGCACTGCAGAACATGTCAGGTGTGCGGCACATCATGCTCGAGAAGTTCATGCCGATTGAAGACAGCTTCATTCAGCCAGGGGGTCTCCCGTCACCAGGTCAAGCCGTTGCAATACGACTCAAGGCCCAGATACCCCTGGAGGAAGAATTCCTTGAGACTGGCCCTGTCACCAACCCAGTGGTTCTGGAAGCTGACGATGAGGTGGTGTTGGTGATGCTGGGCTCGCAGCCAACTGTGGATGCCATGTTGAAGTATGCAGTAGAGAGCCTGAAGCTGCCGGACAAAGCGGACCCGAACAAAGGGAAACGATACGTTTTCCTGGCATGTGGACGCCCGGGAACCGCTGCATACAAACAGCTCTATGCAGACATGCTTGCTCTGGTTAAAAGCAGCCCTGGCTCTGGCCCTGCCAATCGCACCATTCTCGTGCCCTTCACTGGTCAGCGAGCAGCAGAGCTTCTAGGCAGGGCAGACGTTACGATTACTCGCAGTGGTGGTCTGACGGCTGGGGAGCTGCTTGCATTGCAGCACCGAGGCGATAAGAAACGGTTTCTCCTGCATGTCGAGCCAGTTGGTGACGAGGCCAAAACCCGCGCTCTTGCGGCTCTGCCTGCTACAGTGAGCGACGCAGATGCCTTCCGGCTGGCTGCAACGCATGCCAACCTGCTTGGCATGGTTCCTTGGGAGGCGGGCAATGCTCGATACTTGCAGCAGGTTGTCAGCGCGAAGCTGGTGGAGCCTGAGAGCTTGGTCGGCACACTCCTCGGACGCGAGCAATCGTCGTTTGCCGTGGACTGGAGGCTTTTCCTGCAACTGCGTGGGTTCAATGCTGCAGCGATTGATTTGGCAGAAGCACGGCATTGTTCTTACTCGCCGAACCGCTCACGCGTTGTCTCCGAACCTCGGTTAGGGAGTCCTGCTTGCAATGCAGACTTGGAAGCCTTTGCTCGTGTTGGAAGTGCGTTCACCATGAGTCGAAAGTTTTTACCATCTGCAGCCATACCCTGCAACGACACAACGCTCGTTGTTCAGCGCTTCTTCATGCCGATCGCACTCTACTTGTACAATCACACGATAGGGTTGGCGCTGCAAGCAGTGGCCTCATGCCACGGTACCTTGCTTCAGCAAGATGACTTGGTGGCAGTGCAGCTGTGAGATGAGTGGCCGTCAAAAGATGACTTAGGTTGCAGTGCAGCCGTGAAATGCGAGCAAAACGAGCGGCCGTCAGAACAGAAGCTGTCGCAGCCGTCTTTTAAGGACTCGCGGCGGGACTGGTCTGAGTCATCGCTTAGCGCAGCCAGCTGCTCGCAGGCGCGGTGCTGCACGTTACCGCTTTACTGTACTCCATGTGCAACTCACAGCTCAGATGCCCTTACGGCTTCAGTCGTGCTGTCTTTTTTGTCACGGACATTTGCTGGCCCCAGCTGTGTTTGCAATACTCTTGTCAGACCTCTGTGTGCAGGTCAGTCGGGAGGTGTACCGAAGGACCGGATGCAGCTTCGCGACAGAACTTGCACATGTTTGCAAGCCCAGCCTGACTGCCGCACTTCGCAAGCTTCGCGATAGGAACGGCTTCCTCGTTGGCCGCACACAGGCTATCTTCATTGTTGCGCAAGGGATTTCAGTTTGGGACATGTCCAAAAGCTGCGGATGATGCGACAGCGCAAAAAGCTTTGCAACCTTTAAATTCATTTAAACATTTGTTGAAGGCGATAGCCGACTGCAGCATGTCCAACGTTGTTGCGGTGCTTCTGTTGAGGCCCCGATACGATCAAAGTCTTTGTCGCTTCAGAGCATACTCTTTGCTGGAGAGGCAGACCGGCAGCATGCGCATGTAGATACAGCACCTATCAAGTGACCGCTTTGACCCTGACCTCTTTGTCATGCGGCCGCTACGGTCACGGCATTTGCAGCTGCAGCGGATGCAGCCTTTGAGGTGATGAAAGCACCTCCAATAACTGCGATGAGGAAGAAGCCTCGCCAGTCGCATGCTTACATTAGCTCTGTTGCCGCCGTAGTGACTCGAGGCCGTAGAACTTTGTCAGGTATGAGATGGCATGGAAGACTCTGCCAGAGCGAAGGCTCATCCTGAAGGGGCAACAGCTCCGGGTTAGTAGCTGCAGGAGAGAGGAGCTCCTCCGGGCTCCCGCTTCTCTGAGCATCTGTGAGCAAGTGTTCGCTCATGGCCATGCATCTTTTCTGGCAGGTTCGTTTTCGATCCGAAAAGCTCCCTTCCTGTTCCACGAGGCTTGCCGAAGCACCTCCGCTCACTTGGCTTGCCACGCTCAAGATTTTTGCTGGAAGGTGGCTGGGATATGCATGACCCCAGCTGGCCAGACATCTTTCCAACCGGACGGCGCGGATTGGCGCCACGCCAGCCACCAAGGTGTATTTTCCAGAGTTTGTCGAGCCCCCCCCCAACAGTTTACGCGCTTGTGGGATGCCCAGCGGAAACCACCGGGAAGTGGCAACAAAGCGCACCCCAACAGCAATAGACTTAGCAGAGCCTAGACAGGTGGGCGAAACTGTTTGCCCTCTGCCAGAAGGCTCGACAGATCGCAGCAAATCCATGGTGGACGGGTAGATTCCCGCAGGCATTCCTTGTAGTTAGGAGGCGGGTATACGGCAGAATTGTTGCATCACCTCGGTATTGCAACTGTTTGCTAAGTGCCCTTCGAGCAGCAAGCAGCAGAGGCGCGACTGTTTTGGCCACCAGTTGATTGTCGGGGCTGCCATGATGAACACCTACGCTTCTGCAGGAGTCAGGCCGGACGGGAGAGGCCGGGTGAGGAGCTCCTTTCCAAGCAGGGAAGCCGTGCCGTGCCACATGTCTCACAAGAGCAGTTCGCCTCTTGGAAATCCAAGAGTGGCGAGGAAGCGGTGAGCGCTTCATGGCGAAGCAAAGCATGGATGCATGTTGGTGTTAGATCGGTTTAGTGTGCCATGGCCATGGTCGGGCCCCAGCTTTTGGAAGAGTTTTTGGTGCTCCCAGCAATAGGCGAGGGTTTGCCTCTGCCTCTCCGCAGGGAGAAGGCTGATTTTACTGTGGCTCTTTTCCGCTGCACTCAAGGCAGATGCGCTGCGCATTGCAACACATGACGCATGACCCCAACCATCTTTGTCATAGACTAGAAATTGCGACGATGGAGCCAACTCGCACTTCTGTGACGCTCCCATGGCCTATCTCGCACCATGCTAGCCAACCTGGACGCGCAACATTGAGCCAAGCATAGTTCGATTGCATGACCACAGCTCGAAATGTGGTCAACATGGCCTGCAAGCCGCTGCACAGGACAGAGATGCGTATTGACGTGTCATCTTAGGCTGGGGTGCAGGTGTTATCAGAGGGCGTTCTGCAGGCTTATCGTGCAGAACACTTGTGTTCTAGGTGACTACGGTAAACAGTTCACAAGTTTGAGCTGCTACGAGCCGAACTCCAGTCGCTTGAAGCACCTCGACACACCTTTTGCCACCTTGTCTCAAGCTTCGATTACTTCGAGTCTTTCTTCCCCCTTCTCTCGCTTGACCCAGTGTACTCACTATGGAGCACTATGCGAGCTACCCAACTGTAGAAGACGTGTAGTAGCGCTTTTTTTGCCGGTCGACCCAAGCAGCGACACTGTTTATCAGGTGGCAGAGTAGTCCCTCACCCATTCAGCAAGGAAACAGTGGCATCAAGTCCCCAGAGTGCGAGTACCCATCGGCTTACCAACAGCATGTTTGTCGTTGTTTTAGCATCCGCAGCGACACCTTCGATGAGTCGGTCGCCATTCGAAGGGCAGAGTGCACATGTACATGTCCGGGTCGATGTGGTTGATTTTCGTTGCAATCAAGCAAGATCTTCGCGGTATCTCCTTTTCCACCAAAAGTCAACGTCCCCACTGACGAAAGGCCAGTCTGATGTGGAGTCCCGTCCGGGACTGGCGGACTCAAGTGTCAGTCGCGCCGAAGACTCCGAACCCAACTCAATGACAGGTCACTAGCCTTCATTAGCCATGACCTCAGTGTTGAACAAATGGGCGGCGACGGGAACAAACCCGGCAAGGCGAAGACTTCAGACGCAATGGGCACGACCACGCCGCAGCACCACTCCGAGTCTGAAAATACGACCCCCGCCTTCACCCCAACAAACTCAAACGCAGTTCAACTGCTTGACGGACCGCCTGCTCCAGTTGGGCAAATCCCGCTCCACAGTACAGGCACTTCGAGTACAATGCCGGTCTCATTCACCTTCAATGTAAGCCGCACCGACACATACTGTGCACCTTATCTCGCGATCTCCCGACGAGATCTCTTGTCTACTCTCCTGGGCCATGTCGTCAAAAAGATATCGGGACTGGTTGTGTATCTGCGCGTGCTTCTTCTCGCGATATACACAAAGCGGCCGGGTGGCCGGATGTCGCTTATACTTTGCCATTTTGAAGCTTATGCGGAAAGCCCCGCACGGCTGGCTGTCGAACCATGATTAGATTCTGCCAGATGCCTTCTATGTCTTGTGTTGCGACAGCGAAACGTCCAGACTGACGACATGCCCTCATCAAAGGGGTTGGAAACCCTCAAGCCGTTGACGGTTGACCTCCCTGCTGGCAGCCTTCGGCGAGGCATTTCGCATGCCTGGCAAGGGCACCCGCAAAAGAGAAATGGCACTGTTTCCGCTTTCAACGGCGCGACATGGGCCCTACAAGCGAACAGTGGAAAACTCGTTGACCTGTACGGTCCGATGACAATTTGGAGATTCAGATGGATTCTGTAAGAATCGACAACACACCGGGCCTTTGATGTAATTATCAGGTCGTGCAGGACACGGATGTTCGAATTGGCAGTGACAGCGGTTCCCATTGGTCGGCTCATCAGGTCTGATCATGTCGAACTCCCTGGATACCTCAGTGGCCATTTGGGCCAAAGTTTCGATCTTCTTCTGCTTCTCGCATTGACGACGGACCGCTCTTCCGGGAGTCGGTGCGTCCTTCTATGTTCGGATGGGTACTGTAAAATCGACAAGACCTCGAATGTCCGATGTAGCTCGAAAAATGTTTTCCTCGGAGACTTCAACGTTGTGTCGAACGCGTAAGGAAAATAGGCAGGCCTTAGGATGTCTCATTCTTTGCTTAACGTGTGACGATTCAGCGCTTTGCACAGGCATCTTTGTCTCTGTAACCATCATGCAACGCCGTTCCGTTGTTGATTGCAGCAGTTCTTCCGTTTTCAACGTGCAGCCAGTTCTGCACTCCTTCGAGCTGCCCGAGGGCCACACTTGCATAGCCTAAGCTTTTTGGCATTGAAACCATGCGAAGCAAGGCGGTGGTTTCCGGAGCAGTTTCGCACCCCACAGTGCCCGCGTTGGGAGACGTGCCTGGGCATTCAACATCGTACATCCTGCATCAATCCTTCCACTTGCAAAAGTTTGCTCAGCACGAAAACTTCCATTTGTATCAGATGGTGTGAGGCTGTTTGCTGACCCATGCCCCTCTAGCTGCTCCCGACGCCGGGCACCGGGTCCAGTGCCTGCACTTGTGGCTTTACGTATTCATGTGTGAGGCTTCAGGTCCTCTCCACCATCACCACCAGAGGAGCGTCAGAGATCAGATGGTGCTTGCAGCGGACAAGCAGAACCGATGTGCATGTTTTGGAGGAAAGGCAGAAGCGTGGCGCATTCCAGGACACCGCTCGTCTCGTTTTGGTTTTAGTGCGGTGGGTTTGTTTGGCGTGGATTCCTTCAATATTGGGCTTGCGGTGTTGTGCATTGAAATATCTTGAAGCAAGGGGCGCTGTGCGCATATTTTGTGCGTGAAGGACGTGATTGTGCATCTGCTGCACTCCGGCCGAGCCAACGTGATGGAGGACTGTGCATGGTTCCCGTCCCAGTAGAAACTGCCCTTGGAAGCGTACATTGCTGCTGAATTGGTCGTTTCGGGAGGAGCTTTATCAAGTGGTCTGCGACTTCTTTGCCAGTCAGGGCCGTCAAGCAGCTATTTCAGCTTCCCTGAGGTGAATCTCGCATATCAGTTGTTCCGCTGACCGTTGTGCTGACATAGAGAACACGCGCATGAAGAGGCAAATGCGCGAGGATCAGGACCTCAATCGCTTCAGAGCGAAACTTCGCAGCCTATCTGCATTGGCCGTCCTTGAACTGTTCGATTGTCAGTCTTGCCAGACGAACGTTTCCGAGCGACTTAATTGTGTTAGTAAAAGTGCTTCACGGCAATGACGTGCGGACAAGCAGGCACAGGGAACTTTTCTCAGTCGCAGGAACCAGCGCAGAACCGAAGTTTCAGGGTTACTATTGAAGGATCACGGCCGTACGTCAGTCTTTCAGTCGTCCCAATTCGACCTCTGATGGTAGGTCATTACCCTTCGCAGCACCCAGGTTGTGGGACCCGTGTCTGCAAATCATTTAGGCCGATACGTGTTGGAGAACCATGCGGCTTATGAGTAGACTTAGCAGCGCCAGCCGGGCTATTTTGCGGCTACAACCCATACCGCCCACTCTTTCCAATCCCAGTCGTCACGAATCCTGAACCTGTATTGAAATCCTCAATGCGGTTTTTGGTTTTTGGTATTGGGGTTTAGGATGTGGTGTTCCATCGACGTTCTGAACACCTTTGCGACATTGCCAATTAAAATCTCTTGCCATTCATGAAGTGAGATGTTATGTGCATTGTTCTGTTCGGGCGGAACTTCACAGGGTCGGTGACGGAGTTGTCTCAGCCAGCAACGCGAGCAAGCTGTGACGGCGTAAGCATCTGCTCATCCATAATGCATGGTGGTGTGAGTGTCAAGACGTCCAATCTACCGCCGTGATTGTTGGCACAGTGGCTACCGGTGGAACAAGATTTTGCTGCCACCCGCTTTCTGATTGTAGGCTTTGCCAACGTTTTTGTTCCCATGGCCCCAAAACGCACTGCCTGCGATTGCTGAGGGAAGATCTTGGCGCAGCACCTGAGTCCGGGATCACTGAGTTCCATCGTGGATGCAGACCATCTAAACGTGGAGGAGATGCAGGTCGAGGGCAGAGAGCCAAAAAGTTGTGTCTTGTTGTTCAATGTGTTCTTGCAGGCCCATCTTTACGATGCGCTGAGTCAGGCACCGCTCTTTAGAACAGGTTGTCACGAGTTGCGCGTCTGCGTAGCAATGGCACTGCAGATGGCCAGGATGTTGACCTCGAGATGGACATGGGTGAACACGGAGGCGGCGTGCTTTAACCCTCTCACCGCATATGTGCAGATCCCGACAGCATGGCAAAGGTACATCTGGGTACTCGGATATGCTGCTCGGGCAAGTTTTTGTAGCTTACACCTTCAGCAACATATTGCCTGGTAGAAAGACTTCAGATGTGTGCGTGCGTGGACGGTTCATGAAGACTCACGGGATGTAACATCAGAGGCTGCGCGGGTTTCGAGGCAAGGTCTTCAAACTAGCTTCTGGGCTGGCCAGGTTGCGGATGATGAGCGTGCAGCAGCAACGACCGCCGCAAGGAACGGAGGTCGCTTCCTGAAACTCATGCACTGGCGATTTCGAGGAACGTGCTAACTTGGTCAGAATGAACCTGGTGGTGAACGATGCCAGGAGCGACCTTTGCATGAGCGTCGGGTTATGGACGTGCAGGCGCATCAGACTGAACGAGCAAGTGTTTTTTTTCTTCCGCCATGTTGCCTTCGCAGTCAGGCTAAAGGAGCACGAGAATAGTTTAAGAGGAAGCACTCGTCCTCTGCAAAAGGACAAACACACAACATGCCATCGTCGCAGCCACTTGATTTCAAGCGATGTGCTAGCGCTTGTTGAGCGCTGCCCTGCAAGATAGGTACCATGGAAGAAGATGCGTCATGGATTTCCGGTGACCTTCGAAGGCGAACCAGAGTCTTCAACAATAACCAGGACGACATGATTTTTCAGATAGTTGGCCTGGCAGAACGATTTAGCCGACAGATATCTTCGACAGAGGAGAGAGGTCACAACCTTGCAGGAGAAGCTGCTCTTCTTCCTCTCAGAGGAGGTGACCCGAACTCCCGCCGTCTTTGAGCAGGCTGTGGGTCGTCTTGGAAAACCGCAGTTTGTACCATTCATAGGATCACTCGGCTAAGTATGCGTCAGGCGCAGAAGAACAGAGATGCTCACCAAAAGAGGCTTAATGAGATGCTGGAAGAAACGCTGCGGCAAATTAAGAAATGCCGGGCACATATGCAGCAGAAGAAGAAACACGTTATGGACACGACGAAGTCCTACACAGCGGCCTGGCTGAACGTTCAAGAGCCAAGCCCATCCAGCACGAATGACATCGCTCGTCAACAGATGGGCATGATGTGGTTATGCTGACTGAGGATTGCCGCTTGTTGTAAGAGGAAACGGTATCTCGTGCGTCAACGACTGCAGCACAGCGTGTGCCACAATTGGGGTCATATGTACCTGACAAGAAACATGACAGATTTAAAGATTCTACATCCTGCTCCCGTAGGCCCAGGCTGCTGGTAAGGCTTCGTAATCAACGGCAATGGCTCTACCTTCACCCTCGTCAGCGACAGATGGCTGCCTTCTGCTTGCTGCTGTACTCTGGATAGGAGTTTACTGGTCAGGGGCGGTCCTAGACTTCCCGAAACGATTCCATGGTGCTGTCTATCTTCAAGTCAGCAGACGCTGCCACCAGTCAGGAACAGGCGGCACGAAGATGTTGCGGTGATGTTACGGTCATCCAAACAAAATGTCCGACTGGATTCACGGGTCGATATCCTTGTATCCTCACGCAGCAGTGCACTTGCTGCTTAATGGTTCGCTGCGAGCCTTTTGTATGTGGACATGTCCACACGAACTGGGATGCTACACCTCGAAACTAAAGCCTTCCGACAGCATGCTCCAACCCCGGCCTTGTTGGCGGCCGGGTGTTTTCCCGCCAACCATCGCACACCCCGTCTGCCCCAGCAAACTTGGTCTTCACGTCGCATGTCTCGATCAGGCTTTAGTCTTAAAGTTCTTGTGAGAGCTCTGGCTGACCTTAAGGCAAAGTTTGACCACGAGCTCGCTGGTGCAGAGCGGGGTCTTCGCCGCGACTTGACCGAGGCCGGTGTTCTCGTGCGGAAGAAAAGGCTCGTTGCAAGTCCACGCTCAGGCTTTTGCCAGGATGAATGCCGTGGTGGATGAGTTGGGAGTACGCATGACTGATGCAGAGGCAGACGGCACTGCCCCGCTTGGCTGCCTGGCATCTGCAAACCATGTGCTTCCGCCGTGTTGTTTGAGGCGGCTCTCGTGCAGCAGCGAGAGGACCGCAAGCGGCATATCGAGTCTACCCTCGGCCCAATCCGGGATGAGTCACAACGGCTGTTCGATGCCTTAGCAGCTGAGACCCGGGAAAGGCAGCTGCAAGATCACAAGCGGGAGCTTGCCTCAGTTGAATCACAAGTGTGTTATAGACCAATGCTCATGGTGGTCAGGCAGTAGCAGAAGAGTAGCGCAGTACTGTTGGTTGGCATGCCGCAGGAGAAGATTCTGGAGGATGAGGTTGTGGAAATCAACAAACTCATCGACGAAGAGAAGTTTGAGCGTGAGCAGCAGTTGATGACGTATGAGCGATGGGCAGATGCAATGCAGCAGCAGATCGCGAAGAGCCAGTACCAACTCGAGAAGCAAGTGCGGGATGTCACCAAAGATATCCGCACTGAGCATCAGGGACAAGCCAAGAGTCGTGTCGAAACACAGCACGCTATCGTTGACAGCATTGCCTCCTTTATACATAAATATCGTGAGCAACTTGACAAGGATGTTTCTTTGCAAAATATGTACAAGGCCTTGCTCAAGTGAGGCTTGTGAAGCGTTGCGCTTTCGCGCGCGCTCTGCATTTTCCGTCGTGTACAGGAATAGATTTGGAATCACTGCCTTCCATGATTGGAAGTGGTGTTTTTTGATCTTCTCTTGCGAAAGGTGAGCGAGTTTGAGGATCTTGAGTTTCACCACGTCGCATAGTTGTTTGCAAAGGCCCATCTAAAATGAAGCACCCCTGTTCCAGACACTCCCGACACCCCAACACTGCTTCTAGCACGGGAGGTTTCCTGGACTCATCCGACCGACGAGTCTGTGCCCAAGCAAGCCGTCAAGAGTGTGTGAGACTGGGAAGAACATGCGGCTGGTGCAGTGCATTAATTATGCTTCTCCCAGGCCAACTCACGCACCAGACGCGTCGAAAAGCATCTTGCTCAGCAACTTGCCGCTGACCGTGACTGTGGGCAGCTCAGCAGGGTCAATCCCTGCGTTTTGCAGACCGATTGCAGGTGCAGCTTTCTGTTAGCAGGAGTCTGATGTTCGTGCAGTACTTTCCAACGGCTGTGGAGAAGTCCAAGATGTGGAAATGTGCCACCGCCTCAAGCATCGTGACCTTGTATCATCTCTATCTGTCTCTATCATAAATGCTGGCATAGTACCAGTAGAGATGAGCAGGTGACGGCATGGAAGACTGGATGGAGTCCATCCGCAGGCAACCCCCTGCTTTTGATCCTGCTTGCCTTCTACTGCCATTGTCATGCTGCAATCGTGAGTGCGGTGTGTGGATCAGACCCGACGGCGGCCTCGACAGTGAGTCGACAGCGGAGGCGAGCAAATTGATGCCTCTCTTTCTCGTCTCCTCGTCTCGTGCTCGGCTTGGCACCCCCCACCCTGCTTGTATTCCCGGCGGGCTCTTCAGATAGTTTGCGAATCTTGTCATTCCTTGGTTGAGTCTGATTTCATCCGTAAGCTACCGAAACTTGCCGTCGAAACCTCCCTCGAATCCGACTGCTACTCGTAGGAGAACAACTTGCTTGGAGTGGCCAGCGGCTAGCGTCGGTTTCGCACCTGTTTCTGTCCCTATGCCCGACACCGGCACTCCGTTGGCCCTGTCTACCGAGTCCTGTGGTTGTCGAGGATACCGCCAACTGCAGCGTGAGCAAAGCTGCGTCACCGTATACTTTGCCGGCATCCCACTCCCACATGGCTGCTTTGGCTCCTGTTCGGAGTCCTACTTTGCCGACTGAGGCGCTACGCCCTTGTGGAATTTCAGGACCTGAATGCAAAGCGGCGCGCTACAAGGAAGCTGCACTGAGCCTACGAGGGCACAGAGTTTGAGTCATGGACAGAGCACGCAGTTACTCAGACGGCACAGGCAGTCGCATTTGTTCAGCCATGCTTCGAGGCCACGATTGAACGGGATCTTGTTCAAGGAGGTGCAGAGTGAATTTCACGCAATTCCACGCAGTTTAAGCTTCGAGTAGAAGGCAGTGCCGACCGAGTGCTGTTTCACGTGGCCTCCCAAGGGTTCTCGACGACTCACACGTGAGTTCTGGTGACAGCCTCTCGATCTTCTCCCTGCCGTAGTATTCTGCATAGACAGATGACTCCAGACCTTGGCTTGCCATGTGTGTTGAAGCCGCACTTGAACACACTTGAACCAGTCCTGTGCTAGGGAGATGCAAGCCGTAGTTGGCGAGGTCTGAGTTACACAGGATAAATGCGATGAGGTTGCAAAGCTATGTCAGTTCTTGAAGAGACCCCCGAAGCGCTACACCCTCAAGAAGTGCAACCTGCTTCAACCAACTGAGAATTGATGCAGTAAGAGCTAGGATAGGGTCGCAAGGTGCGCATCTTCTCTGAATCACAGGTGCTGCGACTCAAGAAGAGGACATCGCTTCAAAGTCGCACGACGAATCGTTTTGCTTGCGGTTGTGATCACGTGGTTGAGTTGTTCGAGTCATGTGGTGTGCAGGCAACCACCAATCTGAACTAGGCTGCATGGTCACCAGACATGCAGAGGGCAGCTTCATGATTTCTGGTGCCTAAACAGCTCCAGCGTTTCATCGCAGGAAGACCTGGAAGGATCATATCGTAGCTCGCCCAGCCTTCCCCCAGGATGCCCGTCAGAGACCGAGGGACCTTCACACAGCTCCACACGCGCGCTGCCTTGCACCGTCAGGTTGGAAGAGATCGCTCATTCTGCGCGATCTGCCACGCTTGCAGCCGAGCGAGGCATGCTCGCCTCCTTGTGACTGGCTACAAAGGTGCAGATTTCTTGAAGGTCCTTGGGCACGTGGCAGCTGGACTGTCTGCGAACGGGAAGCAATGTCGGCTCGAGCTGCTCAATTGCGCAGCTTTTGCTGCGAGCTTAGAATTTGACCTTCCTCATGGCATTGCTGTACGACCTCTAGGGCTTTAGGGCGCTGCGTCATAGGTTCAGAAACTGAGCATCTTGCAGCGCTTCATTGTCGAGGGCAAGGATGCAAGAACCCCGGAGAGTCGAAGGGAAAGCTTGGGCGGGCTGAAGGTGACAGCACTGTCAGCTGACAGGGCAACGTCGCTGCCGATGCCGGGTCCGCTCCAGGTGATAGCTCCAGTCAGACTGAGCTCCAGGCTTCCCAGCGCGCAAGTTCGGACGGCTTGTGACATGGGGGGAAGTCTTGCATTGGTTCGTCGAGCATGGTCAAGCCAGAGGTCTGGCGATTGAGCTCTTGCCCGCAACTTGACATGTGCATAAGCAGGCACAGGTTGGCGAGGTTTTCACGTGAAATTACACACACCAGACATCACCAGACCGAGAAGCTCAAAGAGGTTCTTGACAATGCTGCGCTTTACCGAAAAGCCCAACGTGCACACCTTGTCATGAGGAGGGAGCTTAGAAGGGATCGGTCACGAAGGACCCATCAAAAGTGCGGACTTCATGGAAAGCTCACAACTCTGCACCAAATGCTGGGAGATTTCCTGCAAGTGCGTCCGTGCACTGAGAACTCGTCGAACCCTACATGGGCGGGACAGGGCACTGCACTGGTGTGACTCTCAATTTTGACCTGAAAGATGTTCACTTACTTCTGCACGAAGCCCTGCCAACCTTTTCAAGGTCCTGCGCTTTGCATGCTTCGAGGCCAACAGCCTTGCCGCACAATTCAGCAGGAGGCACTTGGCACCCTAGCACCGGCAGGAAGCGTACCTCGCCAGAAAGCATTTGAAACACTTGTCGATGGAAGGCCCGGGTTTGGTTGGCATCTTGAGGTTTGCTGTTGCATCCAGACAGAAGGTCGCGCCATAGTTTGTGAATTTCCTCCCTGGCGTCCAGTCTGCACTGCCGTGGACTCAAGGCTCGGCTCTAGAACGGAGAAATCGCTGCGAAGCTCTGCCAAAGCTGCCAAAGCTGCCACTGCCGCCACTGTTCCTGCTCAGGGGTCACGGGCTGAATGAGGCCGAGCTTCTTCCCGTCTGTGTGTGTGTGTGTGTTTCCTGCTTCTCCTCACAGCCCGTGCTCATGGACATGCCGATCCCCCGAGCGAGCGCGCGCTATGGGTCCGGAGCTTAGGGCTTGGGGTGCCGTGATGATTCTGTGGATTTATTTCAAACCGGCCGAGTCGCAAGGCCCCGGAATCTAAACAACGATCCTGTCATTCGTTTTGGTGTGGTAGAGGAGGACGGGAATGCTGTCACAAATAAAGAAGTCGGCCTCTTGGAGTCCTGCAGTTGTGCAGGAGTTCGAATGATCCGACTCTGCTCCAGTTCTGAGTCAGCCGGTTGAAGTCATTCGGCATGAGAACGGCCTATCTGGGCCGAGAGTGGCCAGACAGTGCCCCAGTCATGCCAGTGCCTTCAACGTCTGGACTGGCACTGCTGACCAAGACGATTTGTACAGCAACTCACAGGAAGTAGCAGTTCGACTCGCCGTGCATTTCGTCTTGGGACTCGCTCCCTGAGTTCCGCAGGATGCCCACTCCCACTCATGGACACTTGCTGATCCGCCCAGCTCCGTGTCTTTGCCACACCCTAGCGTCCGCACACATCTGAGCCGACCATGGGTGGTCCGCAGGTGTGCCATGACTGTCAGATGGTTTCCTGGTAGTGGAGTTCTGGGAGGGCTCCAAAGAGGGCGCAACAGTGTCAAATTTGTTTTGTACCTGGGAACTTCCCCTCTAGGAAGATTTTGTATTTATGGATTCTCGATCCTGAGGATGTCAATCTCCGGCCGGCCACAGGACCTAGTTACGGTGTCCCTCGAGTCGGTGGAGACGAGCAGCCGAAAACATGTTCGAGACTGTCTGCGCGACGTGCCCTTTGCAGACTTTCGGAGATGCAGCGACGCTGCCGTCTTGCAAAAATGCACGTGGGTCTTGCTTGGCTCGTCAGGGCACACCTTAGTGCATTTCAGATGGAAGACTGACCGAAGCATTACACTCGACCACGACATACAGTTGAAGACGCCAGCTTTCCTAAACAAGAAAGATATGTCATGGCTCTTCTCGAACAAAAAGAAGGCGGCCAAGAGCTCAGCTGTATTGAAAGTCCAGCCGGCAGAGAGACACGATGCTTTCTTGAGACGCAGTTCTTGATCCGTAGATTTGTAGTTGTCTCTGCGTGGGTGTTTGAGCGAATATGACAACATTCATTCAAAGGAGCTCCCACAATGCATTGTGGGACGACCTCGTGTCAGTATGCAAACGCTTGTGTGAGACTGTCCAGGTGACTCTTGGAGCTGTAGACCTTTCAAAATCAGGCAGTGACGGAAACCTCTGGGATCCTCTGGGCTTCCTTCCATGTGACCACTACGGCTCATGCCTGCAGTCCTGCATGCCTGTCGACAAACATGGCAAGAGTATCGGTGATTGTAGAAAAGCAGCGTCTAGTCGGCAGAATGCAGAGAGCAGATTCTGTTCACAGGCAGCCCTTTGGTTCCAACACCTCCGACGAAGCCAAGATCGAAAGACACCGGCACCTTGTCAGCAAGTAACAAGGAACGAGAGGCTGCATCACTTCCTTCTCGGGTGTGAGAGAGTGTTTCCTCTTCGTGCGGATGAAGCGCAAGAGTCCTTGGTCGTTGTCATTGAGACAGTGTGTAGGCTGCTCTTGTGTGTAAGGCAGGCCTGGGGTGGCCTCTGCTGGTGATACGCCGCGTTGGCGTGCAGGCCTGCTGAAGTCATTCAACTTGTCGCTGGAGTTTCCAGAAAGCCTTGGTCTGGCAGCATTATCTGCGTGATAACACTGACAGCCGTGTGCAACGTTTTGCAAGGCTTACTGGTATCCTTTGCTGCACTCAGGCACCCCGACCGACTTGATCTCAGGAGCCGTGCCCGGATTGGCATGTTCTGAACAGCCCTTTGAGACATGGGAAGTGTGTTTAACAAAATGCGCTGAAAGCTTTTCTTTCGAGGAGATTCGTATCTCTCTCGAGGCGGCTGTCTGAGTTTTGTCCGATCTGTCGGTGGCTTGCCGCATACGGACAGGTCCCCGCCACAGCAAGGACGAGGGTTCAGGCACCGCTGCGAGAACACAGACGTGGACGACGGATCATCCGGAGTGGTTTAGGAACGCTTCTTGATGTGGTTCAGTTTTGCCTAGATGTGAGCCTGTCGTGAAATGTGACTGCAGAAACAGGGCCAGCAACCCTATCGATGCCGCAGAGTGCTTGATTCAACTTGTGAACTGAATGCGAGAAGTTGCTTTTTGTTCAGGCAAGCGGCGGGTCCAGTCCGTTCAAGGTGCTGTCTCCACCGGCTTACCAAGCATTTCGGAAGACGTTCGTCGGACTGGAAGGCAGGTGTCGAGCCTTGTTCCGGGTGTGCCAACCGACCATGTCATGTTGCCCTTTGCTTCTAGGAAGAAGGGTGCTTTGAGTGGTGCGCTCAGATGTCGTCTCAGGTTCGTCATAGTCCAAACCGACAGAGTTACGCAACACTTTTGCATTCTCCAGGTGTTGATGGGGCAGTCGATATTCCGGATGTTGTTCGACCTGGCAGTGCCAGCGACAACTCTCTAAGTCTGGTCTCGCCGCGCCAGAGACCATCAACCAGAAGCTCGGTTGCATGGTCCTTCGCATTTGTCTCAAGCCTTGCCACCTATTTCAACAGTCCTTGGTGCCCATCCTACTTTGCACAAAGCGAGGTGGGGGAGAAGACGGGCGCAACTCAGAAGCACCTGGAGCAAGTGTTGTTTTGTCGAAGATCCAGAACATGAAGGCCGCGTCCATGACGCAGTTCTGCTCAGCTCGAACGGAGAACCAGGCACGAGTCTGTATATTCAGTCCGTCCGTCTTCTTGTCTGCTTCGTTCGTCCGTCTGTCTGTCTGTCGTAGTGATTCGCTCGCAAAATCGACTGATGCAGTTCTGGCCGCGAAAGAGACCTGCTGGTCTTGGCACAGCACCCACCAAGTCAGGTAGTGGCGGCGCCAGTGTTTTTTCCAGCGCAGAAGCAGACTGGAGGCCGTCTGTCAGCAATGTGTTCAATCTCTGCAGGATCCCATGGGCTTCGGGTTTCACACAGATTGCAGAGAGTTTCACCGGCAGCATGGGAGCACACCACCCCCCGAACAGTGAAAGCAGGGCATGTGGGAAAGCACATCGGAGGTTCTTTTGCCGAGGTTTGTTGCTTGAGACCCCAAAGTCTCCGCTCCGTCTCCGTGCATCGAGACCTTCGGAAACAGGGGCATCGAAAGATACGGCGGCTTGACAGTCTCATCAAAATAACGGAGTGACCATGCAGCATTTTTCATTGCAAGACTTTGGAATTCTGTCAGGTGCATTCATGGAACCAAGGTTTGATAGATTTGAATTTCAATCCAAACTTCGTAGTCGTAGACGGTGAGGGTTCCTTCAGTGCTGCACGGCGTGCAGGCCAGCATCATCGCACATGAGAACATCCTTGCTGGCCAAAGTTCTTCGGCCATACACGGAAGGCAACCCTCATGGTTGGAATGTGGTGCTGTTTCAAGCAAGCACGATCGGCATGCACGTCAATGTCTTTGAAGTCGGATCCATTTAGTGGCATCTTTCTGTGCAGTTGTGACCAGGATGGGTTATGGCCTCTTAGGGTCCATGTGGTGATGTTAATGGTCCATGCTCCGTTGCATGTTGCTCTTACACACCTCAGAGCTATAGCTTTTTAGCGAGGCTTAGGGCTGTTCGGAATCGAGCACAAGCACCGTGGCCGCCCCGCTCCAAAAGCTGCACGGCTGTACCCCTGCGCGTCAGCCTGGAATAGCCTGCACGAGCGTCTGGAGTTGGTGCAGGTAGTTCGCACTTGGACACAGTGGAGAACATGGAGGTGCGCTCGTCTGAACTTACATGAGAGGACGGATTTGTTCTGCCATGTGGCGTTTGCAAGTTTTGATCATCCCTTAGCAGGATTTACAATATGCTCATATGCTACAGCAGCATCTTTGCAGCACGCCGTGGCCGAAGTTCACGTACTCGCAGGTTTCTCAGGACGACGACGAGAACTTGCGCACAGAGAGCACGAGGAGCTTCGTTTCTGACTGCTTTCGAACCGCTCCAGATATCAGACATCGTTCCGGGTAGAGCGTTTATTTGCCGCATCCAGTGCAAGGACTCTGCGAGAAGAGTCTGACCAACAATCCAGAAAGTTAAAGGCTTGCTACTTACACTACCAGTGGCATGGAGCAAGGCAGCCGACTCCTGACTCCCATCAAGCATTCGCCACTAGGTGAGGAAGGCTTGCACCTACGATGCGAATTTTGACCGGAAGCAGAAAGCAGTCGTCAACATCCTTTTGGGTGATGAGAGAGCGGTGGCCGTCAAGGCCGAGAGAACCTGCACCCGACAATTGGTCCGTCAATGCTGCACCGCAGCTGCACCGCAGGACCATCCATCTCAAAGTCAGGGCCTCAGACCGTTGCCACTGCTTCGCCACTGTCCCAGAGAAAGCAGGCGATGTTGGCAAGAGGCGGCAGGACGCCGCCGCGCGGTCGAGGAGGCTGAAGGTGCTCGCACCCTTCTAGCTTTGTACATTTGTCGGGGCTTCTTGGATCAGTTTTGTTCAGATATGACATCGCAGTGGTTGAATTCCCAGCTGCATCTAGGGGCACTCCGAGGTTGGTCTTTCTTGAAAGTGTAGCACACACTTGTTTGTGCGAAGTGACAACTTCATATCTCACTTAAACACCGAATCGGTCAGGGGATTGACTCACCGATTCATGTCGAATGATTGTATACTCCGTGGCCATTTTGGCGAAAGCTGTTACAGCTTGAGCGAAATTTTGTTTCAGTCCCCTCGGATCACTCCTCGGTCATAGCCGCCCGGGCGGCCAGTACCCCGAGCACTACTACGACCGCTGCTGGCGGCCAGTACCTCGAGCACTACGGCTTCTCTGTCAGTTGTTGACAGTCTGAAGGAATCGCTCGAGGAATTCAGCCGCGAGCAAGTTCTCGAAGATTTTCAAGTCGAGAAACCCGAGGATGTGACGTGGGGAGCTTGGAACAAGCGACAATCCCGACAGATACGAAAGGCACTCGATCACATCGCCCAGTGTCAGACGGCGAACGACATTGTCAATCTTGCGGCGACTTTGTTGAAACCGCCCAATCTCGAGGCCTTCCTGTACCTGCACATCACCAACCGCGACGAGTCCGCGGAGCCGCTGACGGTGTCGTTCGAGATCGTCGAGGCTTCCCTACACCCCGACTCCGATCATGCACCCCTACCAGCTGACACCGACGCTGCTCTTCTTGTGCATGAGACCGATCTGCATAATCAGCATTTGGCAGACATTTTTCGTGATGATTTTGGCATGGAATTACATACTCCCGAACCCGCTGCCTCTAAAGCTCGAAAGCGGAACTTCGAAGGGCATCTCAAGCCCACTACTTCGATTACCATCGATTTGGATTAGCCAATTCGTAGCCATGGCACGTACCCGAGCCGACTCATGGTTCGATTTTCTCTGCGAGGGCACGTTGGTGAAGATGACGGCCCCTGTTCCAGAGTCGATGCTTAACGAGTACCCCGAAGTAGTCAGCGACACGGCCCAAGTCCCCATCTCCGAGATACGACGACAGCTTTGTCCCCGCCTTCTCGAGAAGAAGAACTGTAACATGGCCAATTGTGGTTTTCTTCACCCCGATTTCCTCAACAAACAGTGGGTAGTGCCCAACCTCATATGCCACAAATGGTTCCAGGGATGCTGCGAGTACCACAATACGTGCTGGAATCAACATGGCCACACGTTCGACGAAGCTATGCGACAGGCTTTCGTAGTACAGCGACAGAATCGTCGAGGTGAACCACCTTACCATTACTCGTCGAAGAACGGAATCATCGAGCAGGTCAACCGAGCACAGGCTCGTGAGTGGATCATGGACTCGATGACCACTTTCCGTTCCGCCGAGATGCGCAAGTTCAACTTTGGCACAAACTTCCTTCGGTACTACGACTACGAATCGTGGGATAAATCTGATGTTGCCCAACAACTACGACAAGAAATCGCGGATGGCCTGCATCGTCGAGGACGCTCTCCCCGTAGAGTTCGCGAGGAATCGAGACCTCCGGCGACCTGGGGACAACACCCCACTCCGACACGGGGAGCGATTTTCCCGACTTCGAGACCCCGATGGCCTCCTTCAGCGGCTCCCTCGTCAGCCCCCTCTACAGCAGCCCCATCGACAGCACCTCCGGCAGCGTTCCCATCTGCGGCACCTTCGACTACGCCGACTCCGCCGACACCAAGGAGAACTTTCTTCCAGGTCAGCACGGATACGGACTCCGATGCACCCAGCTTCGGCCGTGAACCCCGAACTGCTTTCCGCCACGGCGATGGAGCAGCCAGGGGATCACAACGACCGCTTTCTCCGGCGAGATTCCCGAAGAGATCCCCGTCACCGGCGAAGAGATGGCTCGACTCTAAGACCCCGGTGATCGTCGAAATCCCGGATGAGATCGCCGCTTCGACACCAGCCACGACTCCGGCGGCCCCACCGACTACCACGACACCGCAGACGAGGCCGAGGTCGCCAGATCCTTGGCACGAGGACGATGATTCCGCGACACCACCATCGACTCCTCCGACCGCGGTTACTACAGCCAACTCTGCGACATCGATGGACCCAAGGAGCTCTGGGCCGGTGGCCAATTCCGCGAGTGAATCCGAGTGGATCAACCCATCCTTTGGGGCTGCCGCTACTACGACTCTCGTGAGCACTAAGACCAAGGCCATGCCCAAACGACCACACCCCGACGCCGACAGCTCCGCGGGGCTTGGAAGAGTCGTGCCTCCGAGATTCTCCGTCCACCCTGCTGTGGACTTGACACGAAATGACCCGAGGCAAGTCTTACGGCCAGATACCAACGAGTCGGGGGCGGCCTCTTCCTCGACTATCGCGACCTCCTTGGGGAATCCTTACACGAGTGTACCGGTCGCGGTTCAGCCACAACCACCACGACAGTCATGCCTCGAGAGATTCCGAGTGCAGTGGCGCGACTCGCAGGTGGTGGAGAAGGGGCGCACTTCGATCGACGATGTCCGATCCAATGCACCGTCATCACACGAGCCAGTGTTTGGCTTTCAAACACTGCGCCACTTCGACAACTTCCCGATGATGTCGGCGAATTTGCAAGCGATGACGCCGGTGGGTGGCCACAATGTCGCGATGTTGCCACCTGGCAATCACCCCTACTCCTCCTTCGCCTTCGACACTCCATGGGAGATCACATACGATGGCATCATCTACATCGAACAGGTACTCCGATGCCCTACTTTCGGGAGCTACCTCACCCAATACGGCCTTTACATCGACCTCCCGATCCACACCCCGCAAGACGACGTACTGCAGGAACGGGTGTTGCTCCTGGGTGTCCCGAATAACTTCGTGGAACCCCGGACTACCTTGATCTACTCGATGGTGTGGCACAGCATCACCGCCTCTCTCTCCGACCTGAACCATACTTCGGTGGAAGATCGGATGAACCGACTCCGAATTTGGTGCCACACGGCGAGGAATCTCAACACCTTCGCGGCGCAGATGCCATACTTCGAGCCCATGCAGACCTTCTTTCGGGAGCAGGCCTCGGCGATCCTTTCATGCACTTCGAATATGCTCTCACCGGCGATGCGAAGTGCCTTCGCCCAACACGAGCGAATGCGATCGATGATAGCCGCGGAGCCGCCGGCTTTCATCCTGCGATTCCGCGAGAATGCGTGAGCCTTTACACGAGGCCTACCCGACCTTTAGGTCTCACGGTCGCCCCGTTTCCGCCTCGGCGATGTACGGGTGTTTCCGGGTCAGTGACCGTTTCGGTAGAAGGGGACTTCCGCCTCGGCGATGCGTCCACCTGACCCGTAGGTCTCAACCCCCCGAATGACTCGTTACATACGACGACAAGACCAAATGTGCTTGCCTGTAGGACATGTTACTCGGTTGCATCAGGCTCTACTAGTTGTAGTGGGGCCTGCTCTCTCCTTGGAGATTGCTTGGCTTCCGTAGACTTCGACCTCTCAAGCTCGACTCGTGTTACCCGAACCTCCCGATCCACCCGAAGTGATGGCACACTCTCGCCAGTCCCCGATTGAGTCGGATCCGATTGAACAGTTCCCCGAGACATCGGCGACTCAGCTCGATCCCATCGAGCAGTTTTCCCAAATGCCCGGCAGCAGCTCCGGAGCAGTTTTGCCGGCCGCTCGATACCTCGAGGGAGTCCACCCGGACACCGACGAGGGCCGAGCACTGAAATTACAACGAAGGCTCTACGATGACCATCACACCCAGGGAGCCTTGGAAGTCATCGCTTTCAGACGAGCCTCCGAACAGCTCGCGATGTCATCACTACGAAAGCAGTTCCCGAACTCGACAGACTCCGAGCTGGCGGCGATTTGGCGCCGACAACTTACCGGCGAGGAGGTCGACGAGAACGGCATGCCCATCGAGCTCATTGGTCGCGATGGGACATCGATCGAAGATCACCACAAACGCGATGTCGACCGAGTCGAGATGTACCTCAAGTACTTCAGCACTCCGGCCAACGACAAGCTCCACGATGGATCCATCGATTGCACCTTTTGTGGTCTGCTGTTTCCGCCTTACTATCTCCTCTCGGTTAACCCCGACGGCCAGGACGACTGGCGCAACATCCACTACAGGTGTTGCTACCAGTGCGCAACCGGGGCCAACGAGGACTTCGTGTGGTACGCCGAGAACTCCGACTTGTCACCGGCCAAGATAGGACTACGAGGCAACCTTCGAGACCTTCCCTATAACCACAAGGACCGTCGACAGCTCTACGATCGCGACGACAACCACGAAGTCAAGCCGCCTGGGTGGCACATCGCGATCGAGCGAACGCATGGATTCTACTGCAAGGTCTTCTTCGACAACTACTGGGATACCGCGAAGTGTCGTTGGGTTCGGAAGCCGACATTCGTCCGCAAGAACTCGACCCGCTACGACACGATCAGCATCCCCGACTGGTACACGATTTGCCAGAAGGTCAACTCCGTGCGCAAGCAGATCAACCTCGAGACCTCGAGGAAGCGAGCCGCTTCGTGGAAGCAAATGTGCGAGGACATCGAACGCGAAAGGCCTGGCGACAGCAAGTCGAACATTCGACGCGAGGTACGAAGTCGAATACTACGACTCACCGACATTTTCGTCGCGGACCTCGCCAAGCTTGACTCCGACCAAAAGCAGCGAGTGTTCCAAGCCTTCGCCCAGTGGGAGGTCACGACCGTCGCTCGATCCATCGACCCGAACTGGAACGCCGATGAGTTCTGGAACATGGTTACCGCCGAGGCCCCACTCACCGATTGGTTGTTTCGTGTCTCCGACAGCATCGACCAACACTTCGTCTGTCGCTCGAAGGATTGCACCGCGGTGATACACAATCACCATTGGCTCCGACAGATCTCGTGGGACTACTCGATTTCCTCGCAACACGGTCGGTACTCTTGCCCGCGATGTTTGACCGCGTATAGACCTTGGGCACTTCGAAACA